TTGTTCTTTTTGGGTTTTCTCCTCCTTGACACATGCAACACACACACGCTATTTACAGATCACACCCACACACGCTTTTTACAAGTCCCACACACACACTCTTTTCGGACCAGTGGAGATGAAATTTAAACAAGTTCGAGGTTCAACATGCCCAACTTGGAGACTAGGAACTGGAATCTTTTATTCATCCAATGCCTTAGTAAACAAGTCAGCCCGTTCAAACTTGTGTTTTAGTTTTAATGTAAATTAGACAACGTTAATCATAACAACATGACAGTTCCAATGAGAAAAATACACTCTAGGATCTTTACTTGCTGATTAAACTTGACTCAATGAGATAATATCAAACACTTGAAAGAAGCAAAGGGAAAAATAACTTGGTTTAAATTTGTTATACAAAAAAGTTACATCGTAAAAAGCAGATTCATAGCTCATTGAGACATATTATCAAACATTTGATAGATGCAAATGGAAGAATAACTCATTTTAAATTTGATAGACTAAAAAGTTACATTATAATTGAACTAGAGACTGATTATTTTCGTTGAAACAATTTGCAGGTGAATCAACTTGAAATTAAAATGAATTATTCAATAAAAAATCTGAAGCAATTCATACTAAAGGTAAGAAAGTTTATTTCGAAACCTGTCGTGAATTGCTTGTTGATCTGGAGCTTCTCTCATGGACGCCCAGTCATCGTTGCCTTCCACGTAAGATTAATTCTCAGCGCAAATGAGGAAGAGTTTAGTACTTCAAATTGGGAAAAACTAAGTTGATTCAGAGCTTTGATCCCTCTTCTATGGCTAGTCGTCATGAAAAATCGGTCTTTCAATCTTGTACGACTCTGGACTAACTGGACGTTGTAGGTGATAAACTTATAACTCGTCAATGATGGTGCTCTGCCATGGAATTGCGGATTTCCACACATGAGATTGTCGGGAGAGATGGACTGAGACGGCAAACATTCCATTTAACAAAAAGATATACAATTCACGAAATTTACAAATATGCCATTAATGATGTGGTAGTTATAAGGCAATCGGACGATTCAGATGAGTTAATCGGACGGCAGCCAGGACTTCTCATTTTTCAGGCTAATATAGGCTTCTCATGGAATCTTTTCTCTATATGTATGTGTGTGTGTAGGGAAGAGATCAAATAAAAAGAGTTTCTCTCGTGCAAAGTGCAAACAATTGCACTTTTTCAGCACCGCGTTGCACTTTTGCGTGTTTTTGTTGCACTTTTTCGCGATGGCAAAAAAACTTTGTTTTAATTACGAAATTGCCACCGCGTTTTTGATCAAATTTAGTTCACTTTTGGCTCATTTTGAGCCATTAGATCTTGAAATGAACGCACGAGATTAATTCTCACTTTGCATGGGAAGACCTCTTTGTATATATATAAGTTACTAACTTATACTACGTATATAATAATTTTGTTTTGAAACAATGACACAAATATGACCTATAAGGTTTTAATAGACATAAATATGACTTCTTTTAAAGTTTACAAAAAAAAAAGTGACCAATGTTTCTCCCCTAATCCAGATCTACGCAGCTCGCACGTCTACGCCATCTGCCTCCCCTGCACCATCCGCCTCCCTCGCACAAATCTACAGATCTTCCATCTTCTTCCCTGCTCTAAGCCATCCAACCTCCAGCCAACACACAACACCTCTGCCGCCACAACCACCATTGAACAACGCACTAATGAAGGATTCTTCTCCATCTCTCGCTGAATCAAAACTAACGGTAAGCTTGTGCACAGATTCGCCGATGAGCTTCTAATTTGGCAGTAACGGCGACGAGCTTCGCTGAGAAACTCCATCTTCGAGCTTCATCAACGCGACAGGAGAAAATCCAGTGGTCGACAATGAGTTTCGTGGTTGGGTCAAATATGTCGACCACCTTGGGACCGAACAAATCCGCCTTGGGACTGAACAAATCTGTCGCAGATCTGATTTTTTTTTTGGCAAATCTGATTTTTTTTGCTTAGGGAGACAGGGGTTAGAGCAACTGGGGAAGGGGCTTGGAAGAAGGCCTGGCCGAGAAGGTGAGGAGGACTATGAAAGGGACTGGTAGGGTGGTGGTCGGGTTGGGGCAGATTGAATTGATAAAGTAAATACAAAATAAAGATGATTTAGAGTCACACAAATTTTATAAAATTTGGTATGAAACAATTTTAGTGAAATTTTCTGAAAAAAGTAAAATGAGAATCTTTGTGGGATGGAGGGAGTACTTCCTTTGTCCCTTTTAATGTTGATGGTGACTTTTGATGGGTTCACTTGGGGTTTTGGGTTGCACATAGGGTTGTAAACGAACCGAATCGAGTCGAATAATGGGATTTTGTATTTGTATTTGTTTATTTTTTTCGAATAGGAATTCGAATTCAAATATGAAACGAATATTAATTTCGATTTGTATTTGTTTAACAATACGAATAATTAACGAATCATATACGAATATCGAATCGATTTGAGCATAGGTTAAATATTAATCAAATATCACTCTAAAATAACTTTTCTTATACTCCGTATTTTTTATGTTGTAAATGCATGTTATGAATTAATATGTGTTTTTAGAATTTAAATTTAATGGACCAATGCATTTTTAGATGGTGCACAATATACTAAAGTGAATTAATTTTATGATTAATACATATGAATCTATTTCAAACTTTTTGAAATAAACACTAACACACATACATTAGAAATTATACTTATAATGTGTGAAATAAGTTGATAATTGTATATATCAAAGTCAAACAACTCTAATTTTATTCTTGAAATCGAATACATAATTATTTGTATTGTACTTGAAAGACATTTGAACCAAAAAATTGATTTGTATTTGTATTTATATATGATTTATTACAAATGGGCTTGGGATATGTATGCAAAACTGTATATATAGGCTACACTTTGAGAGTAATGCTATCTTTTAAAAATTATTATAGTGTTATTACTATTATTATTAATATTGACATTAATATTACAATTATTTTTAATCGAATATATTTGATTAATATTCGAATCGAATACACTGATATTCTTATTTGTAGTTGATAATAATTCGAATCAAATTTAATATTCTTATTTATATTTGTATTTGAATTTTCCGAATTCGAATCGTCTTATATGAATTCGAATCGCGAATCGAGCACAAATTATTTGATTCGTTTACAACCCTACTTGCACATTGCTTGATCACTTCATCTCAAACTAGGGTTGGATGGTTTTGTTAGCAATAGATTGGACGGTTTTTGTAACACTCAAAACACATACATCTATTAAATTAATAAAATTTTAATTGAATTGATTGAATTGACTTAATATGATACACATATACTTAAAATATACTCCCTGTTTTATTAATAATTAAAGAAAAATTATGTGAAAAATAGTTAAAATAACTAAAATAATTCTTTTTAAACAAATCCATCTAATTCAATCAGATATAAAAAATTAAGTGCCACATACTTCGTATGTACTTGTGATAAACAAGGTTGACTGATAAATAAAAAGCAAGGACAATCAAACGTGCTCTGAATGGTTTATGGTTTAAAACTTAAATGTGTTTTATTTACTTCAATTTGATTTATAGCTCGTTTAGTACAACAAAATCCAAGACGTGGTCCAAAAAAATTTTGGGTCGACAAAAAAACATGATATCCGATCCAAAAGCAAGAAAAGATTAAAAAAATATGATACCAGTCGGTAACAAAAAGGCTAAAGGGTCAAATAAGCCCGCGTATCGTTTGTGTAAGCTCAATTCGGCCCATGAACTAAAAAAATCCAATTCGCACCTCGAACCGGCAAAAAAAGATCAAATTTCATTTTTTACAGGTAACCAACCGGTCACCCGCCATGTCACTGATCTAATTGCCACATGTGCATCTAAAGTTGAAAGTAAAAGCTCAAATAAGCCCCTGAACCCATCACAAAATATCAAATCACCTCCTAAACTATTAAAAAGTGTGAAAATTGTAATAAATAAAAATCAAAAAATAGAAACAAATTAAAAAAAAATAAAAAATATATAAATATAAAAATTAAAAATATATAAATATGAAAATTAAATTTAACTTTAGACTTTATATTCATACTTTATATATACATTGTATGTTTTTACATCAATATTTTATTTAATATTTAATTATTATTTTAACGTTTTATTTTATGTTATTATGTTTTTATCATTTCGTAGGTTTTGAATTAAAACGTATGAAATATAAAATAGTAATTTATACTACTTCAAAAGGCTTATAGAATAAAAAATGTATAAGTTCAATCCAGAAATATTTTGTACCACGTATAACTTAAAGCATGAATACAATTTTTTATCTATATAATACAAAATAAAATAAATAGGAAAAGATAATAAAAATCTAGTGAAATGTGAAATTTAAATGTAAGGACAAATCTAAAACTCTAAAGAAAAAATCCCCAAGTAGGAATAAAACATAGAAAATATTCTCAAATAAGAATGTCTTTATTTTCATATTAATAAAATATAATAGCATAAAATAAAACATAAAAATAAAAATGAATTCTTAAATAAAATATTGATGTAAGAACATAGATATAAAGTATGAATATAAAATCTAAAATTAAATCTAAGTTTCATACTTATTTTTTAAAAAAAAAATATTTTTTATTTTTTATTTTATTTTTTCTATTTTTAGTTTTTAATTTCTTACAATTTTGACATTTTTTAGTAGTTTAGGGGGTGATTTGACCAATTGTGACAAATTCAGGGGCTTATTTGAGCTTTAGTTTCAATTTCAGATACACGTGTGGTAATCACACACGTGTGGTAATCACACAGGTGACGTGGCTGGTGACCGGTTGGTTACTTGTCAAAAATGAAATTTGAACCAATTTTTGACGGTTCGAGGTGTGAATTGAATATATTTTTAGTTCAGGGTCTGAATTGACCTTACACCACCGGTACAAGGGCCTATTTGACACTTTAGCCTAACAAAAAAAATAAGATAGAATAGAGATAAGATATACTCCGTACATAAAAATGATAAAATAAAAGGAGTATATATATGTGTGTAAAATTAATGGGGTGATGTAATATTATTAAACAGGAAACTACATTTGCTTACAAACCTTTTACAAACATAATATGAGAGCATGGTACAACGGGGTGAAGATAGTCACGCTGTTTTTTTAAGGGTGTGACCCAACGGGATGAAGGTAGCCCCGCCGGTTTTTTTAAGGTGCGAGTGTGTGACTCAAAGGGGTGAAGAAAGCCACGCTGATGACCCTTACCAATCCTTGAGCAATTCAGCAGCAACATCTTTGTAGCTGACTTTTTTTTTCTTAATAGGATTTGGGGTGAGTACCATTGAAGACTCTTCATGCATATCGCTGTCCATGATGTTTGGTATCTTCACAAGACCAGGGATCTCATCTTCATGCTCAAGATGTGTTCTCAAGCTGCTGGGTTTCTTCTCAAGGCTTGGGATCATATTCGGTGAGAATGATTGAACAGCATCGTGATGATTGTTGTTATGATGGTCAATCCCTGACAATAACGTTTTCTTTACATTGCATTCTTCTCCTTCACCGCTACAGTAGAACGGCTCTTGAATTTCTTTTTCTTGTAGCATATTAAAATCGCCCATTTCGGTTGAAACTTTTTCTGCTGTAGCCGTGCAGCTTTTGCTAGTTTGGTTCTCGTCAATCTTGGCCAGTTTGCTTCCAACCTTTGCTCTTCGTGGCTGTTTGACAATCAGTTCCCGTCCAGTCATGGTGGTTCTACCTCTGGATTTCTGTTTTCTCTTACCACCGCCCCTCTTAGGCAGCAGCATGCTATTTGTCCACTTCTCCAAAGCTACAGCTTTTTCTTCCATACCAACTTGAGCAGTAGAAGATTGTATGACATGCTTGCCTATATTGTCTTTAATAATGTAGTCATTTTTACTCTCTTTGTTGAAATATGCTTCAAGTGTTTCAGGCTTTAAACTATAACTACCCTCGGGCAACTTCTGGTCTTTCTGACAACAATCCTCCAACCAATGTGAACCCACTATGTGCAGTTTGGTACTGCAGAAAACATGCCTCTCTGCTACAGAAAAGCTCCTAAACAAAATGTTGAAATCCACACATAATTCTGGAAGGAAAATGATAACCAGATGGGTTGCGTCCAAAATACTATCAGTAAGTTTGCCACCTCCCATAGAAACTTCAAGCTTCAACCTCCTCATTTCAAGCTCCAATAAAACTTTCTGGTGTGAACTTTTTAAAGAGTGCATATGAAGAAAAAAGTGGATGCAGCATTCATGAAAACGACACCATTTATAATTTGGGCAGTATTTCTTCTTATAGATATCAACAATTTTAGACTCTTCAGAATGACATATGCTGCTCATGAGTTGTTTGAAATCATCAATTTTAAGATTAACGTAAAAGGAATCCGAGAACTTGTCAACCTCTTCTTGCAAATTTTTCTTTGTCAGGTCAGAAATGAAAATAAAGTACTTTGGATGTAGAGGGATGAGTCTCTTTTGTGAACAGCAATCAAAGAGCCAAGAGCAATGAATAACATCTCCCTGGAGCTTTGCAGCCTGAAACTTGATCCCTCTACTTTCAGCTGCAATGCGATGAGTAACAGAGTTATTCAAATTCATTGAGAAAGTGCCCCCATGTTCAACAATCATTTTGTGCAAGGAATCCATGGTATGTGATAAAGGCACATTTGCAAAGTAAAATACCATGTTCGCGAATATTGATGTTTCACCCTTAACATGGGAGACATCTGTTTGTACAAAATGAGAAGGAACAAGTAAAGCGTTCTTCCTCTCATGGGTCTTAGACTTTATATGCTTCACTTCCCCAGTGTCAACCCCTCTCTGAGTGGTGCCGTTGCTGGAACGTACCAATTCAACGAAAGTTTGCACATCCATACACTCATGCCAAGGCTTTTCATATCTAACCCGATCAATACGTGGAAACCTCAAGGTGTACGGTGCAGCAAAGACCTCAGATGTTATTGTTCGAATGTCACTGGTGATAGATACAATTATTGATTTTTCTGGGCTCTCCACCCAGACATCTGGTCTTTCTCTTGAATTGTTTGTTACTTGATAGAAACTTGGTGGTGTTTGCTTTGGGTACTCATATTTCCTGAAATAGGGTTTTAATTTAGTCACAACGGCTTCAAGCTCTTCATCAGAGAGTCCTGTGCCCACTCTGCAGAAAGAAATGAATCTCCTTGGGTATGTGCCTGGAGATGGACGCTCTGATAGACCCACCAGAAATTGAGCTACCTTCCCACCATGGCGTCCAGATCCGTAGTAACCTCCAATTATAAGAACATCTAAATCAGAGCCGGCCCAAATATAGTCAGGTTTCAACTTCAGCCACTTTCCACTCCGATCGCTGGGATCCCATTTTGAACTAAGGTCTTTCAGAACAATTCCCTCGTCCCTGTTTTTCAATATTGCCTTAAAAAACTTATCAATGTCATCTAAACTATGACAAATTACTGACCAGCATAGCCCTCCAGGAGAGTGATGAACATTAAGGCCGCCATTAGGAAGCAAAATCTCCAACCTACCTTTTATAGGTTTCACAACCTTACGAAGAAGCTCATGTCGTTCCTTCAAACTTTGGTGAATAACACTGGTATCTCCCACATAGAGAATATCAAAGGCAACATAGCATAACTGCCTGTCACTATCAAGACCTTCCCTGGCAGCCTTTGCTATTTCTTGATTTGAGCCGAAATCGGCAAAACGGTTTGTAGATCTATCCCAGACTAACATTTCACCATCAAGTATACACTTATCAACAAGAATATTCTGTACAATGATATCTGACATTCCGTGTACATACTCTTGATGATCAAGAAAATTTCTGGAGAAGAAGTGTACCTCAGCTTTATTTTTATGAATTTGGATGCGATCCCCATCAAACTTGCACTCAGCAACAACTTCCTTCCCGTGGAGCTTCTTCCATGCGGCAGCCGGGCTGTTGGCCCTAAGAGCTAGTTGAGGGCGCACAGCTTTTCCGACTTCAATATCCTGGCGCTTATGCCTTTGATTTCTATCCATTAACTTTTCACAAACAAGTTTCAAGTCACACGTAACATTGAACAAGTCTTCTGCATCTGGATGGAATACATGAAAGATGCTTTTTTCACTAATTCCCAACTTCAGATCTTTGAGAATTATCATTACAATCCACTTCATTTCCTGGGCATTTGTTCTCCTAATGAGATCAGAAAGAATTGTAGTCTTCTCAGATCTGTTTACACTTGATGCCAATGAATCAAGAAAGTCATTTAGTTCTTTTATTGTTAGCCCACCAGAAGACACTGCTTGTCTACGTTGCAGAACCTCAGCGGTTACCAAGGAGAAATGTCCGACATTAAGACCGCCTCTAGGGCCGCCCTTGCGCCAGTTGAGGAGGCGGCGGGCGTCCTCCGAATCGCGGGACATGCCAATGGCGTCGATTAGGCAAGTGGCGAGCGCGTGCTCCTTGAGGCCGTAGGAGCCGCGATCGCGGTCTAGGGCAGGGAGGATGAGGCGCATTGCAGCGAAGTAGTCCGGAGGCTTCCGGCAGTAAGTGTCCAGGAACTTCCGGAACTTGGAGGGTTTCCGCTTCTTCGACGTGCTGTCCTGTATCCACTTGAACATGCTAACCAGGACGCTGAACTTGATGTCTTCTCCCCCGGGACTAGCCATTTCTTTCTTACTGAATCTTTGTGGTAGGGAGGATTTTGGAGAAGGCAACGAACGATATGTACAACCTTGGTGGGCGGGTGGGCATATCTGTTTTCTATTCGCTTCTTTATAGGTTTCTACTCCTTATTAGGTTTGGAAAAGGATGTTTTTACTTGGTCTGGTCTAGTCTGGTCTGATCTGGTTTAGTCTGGTCTGGTTTTTTTTTATTTTTATAACTATCCAAGTCTGGTCTGGTCTGGTCTGAACTGGTCTGGTCTGGTCTAATTTGGTTTGGTCTGGTCTGGTCTGGTTTCTTTGTATTTTTATAACTATCCAAGTCTGGTCTGGTTTGGTCTGAACTGGTTTGGTCTGGTCTGGTCTGATCTGGTCTGGTTTGCTGGTCTGGTCTGAGACGGATTACAGTCCAAGTAAAAATATCCCAAATAGGAAGAATGACTACTAATTTACTAAACAAAAAACATACCGAGTACTCCTTTTTCGGTTTGGTTCCATTCAATTTTGTTCACTTTGGTTCGATTTTTATTTGTTATTTTTTAATAGAAAATCGTACATTTCGTCCCTGAAATAGTCGCCATATTGAAATGTCAGACTCGTATTTCGGATGTTGTAATTGTCACCCCTCAATTGTCCAAATTGTTGTAACAAAATTGCTCTTTGTACACACAATTTGTACACTCAATGTACACACTATTTAAACCCAAAAAAATTTACCCCCCTCTTTTCCCCTCACTCCCCCACCCGGCCCACGCTTCTCACTCGCTCCCCCGCTCCTCGAAAATCAAAAGTCCCCCACCCGGCCCACACTTCTCTCTTCTTCCTTACAACGGCGAAAATCAACGAGCCGCCTCCTCGCTGCGGACTTCCTCCTTCTCGAAAATCAACGAGCAACTTCCTCCTTCTCGAAAATCAAACCTGCGGCGACATCCCCTTCCTTCTCTCCCACATCCCCACGAAACCGGCACCCCCACTTACACTCTCTTCTTCGCGATTGATTCCAGGTGTGTGTGAAGAAACAGCCTCCTCGCTGCGGACTGAGGTTGGACCACGACGCACAACAATGGTGCGAACCCCACCGGCAGAGATGGCCGAGAGGTATGTATCATTTCCCAACCTTTGTTTGTTTTTAGGTTTATTATTTAATTTGTTGGGTTTTTTGCAATCTTCGAACATTTGTCTGTGGACTGGTTTAAAATTTTGTCTATGATATAGTGTAAATCCTTTGTTGATGTGCGCAAGTTGTCTGTGTGGTGGTGTTAACTTCATTTTTTTGTTATTTATTGCTTGTGAATGAAATTATGTCTATGACATAGTGTAATTCCTTTGCTGATGTTTATAAATTGTCTGTGTGGTGGTGTAAAGTTCCTGTGGAGTGTTATTTATTGTCTGTGAATATACTTTAGGTCTATGAACGTCACCTTTTGTCTCTCTGCCCTAATAATTTATTGTTCTTCCAACTGTCAGAGCCCTGAAGTTACGCATTCCCAGTCATGACTACTTCCCTGCCCAGTATTCGGTGTGTTCAAACTTTAGAAATGCTGCCAAATGGGTACAAAGCAGCTTATCTGCAACAGAAATAGAAATTTTTCGCGCTTTACCATGGGGCCATCTTATTGACATCCCACCCACACAATTCTCTGGCCAAGTCTTTCACATGCTGGCCTTACACCTTGTGCAGGAGCAACCTGATGAGGAGCTGTGGTTTGCCATTGGGGGTACACTGTATAAGTTTACTTATGTGGATTTTTGCCGCATAAGTGGATTACCAGCGGGTGCTGAACCAGTAGCTGCTGCAGGTGATGTTTCAGGACAAGAATCTGGCGATGAAGCTGAACCAGTAGGGGCCATTGCTAAGAAGTATTTAGGTGGCTCAGTCGACATTACACACGTCAATTTGAAGAACAAATTTGAGAAACTGAAACTTTCCAAACGTCGTGATCAGATGGATGCTGTAAAGTTGGCCTCCTTATTCTATATTGAGTGTGTGTTGCTTGCTAAGGACAACACTACGAGGATAAATGCATCCTCTATCAGACTGGTGAATGATTTAGAGGAATTCAAGAAGTGTCCGTGGTCACTTCGTTCGTACAAGTTATTGGTGAGTCATATGAAGGGTCTGATGGATGGTCAACCTCAGAAGTTCAAGGACCGGAAGGAGAACAATCCAAACTATAGAAATGCCAAGCTATCTGTCTACGGTTTTCCACTAGTTTTGCAGGTATATATGACAACTTCCCTATTGTGCTTATTTATTTGTTCATATATAAGAGAACAATATCTATTACTTATTTCTTATTGTGCGAACTAGAAATGTATTCTTTGGTTATTATAGGTGTGGGCTTACGAAGAAATTAATGATGTTGGGAAGAACTTTGCAAACAAAGTGGGTAATCATGATGTGCCATTACTCAATTGGAAGGCCGAACGAAAATTTCATTACTCTAAGCTTAGACGAGTAGTATTTCCAGAGGTAATCTGTCATTGATTTTGTTAATGTTATGTATTTTTATCATTTGACGATAAATCTTCAATGATTTTTAAGGAGGAGGAAAAGCTTTCTGATTCAGAGGGGGGAGAGGAAGAAGAGAACCAAGAAGAAGAAATGACTGAGGAAGACCTGCGCTTGTTCGAAAAGGTTAAAATATTGGAGGAGCTGCAGGACCTACGGAAGTATGTTCAAAGGGTTGAAAACAAAATCACTTATGTTGAAAAAAGTCTTTCAGAAATAAAGGTACTACTTCTGAAGTTGGTTGGCAAACCGAACCCATCGGTTGAGGAAGAGGTATGATCAAACTTACTTGTATGGCCATTTGCATTATCTACGCGAATAACACATTAAACTATATGCATTGTAGGTTGATAAGGATGCAATTGGGGATGAACGAGTACCTGCCGATGAAGATGTTTTGAAGACAAGTGTTGTTAATGATGATGGTGTTGCTGATGATGCGGCTGCGGGTGACGGTGAGAAGAACGTACAAGAAGAGGAACCAAATGTAGCCACTGAAGAAGTGTCGATGCAGGTTGAGGTTGTGAAAGGAGATGCTGACCATGTTGCTGATAGTGAAGATGGTGAAGATGCCACACGGGCAGATGTAATCATCTCCGCTGTAATGACTGAGGTATGGGTTTTTATCTATCTTTATTGTTATTTTTGTAGAATTACAACTGAAGTTGTGAATTATTCAATAGGTGAATTGGGAAACTGAGCAGAATAAGGTAGCAAGCAACTTCCCAGATCTTATGATGTCTTTAAATGAGGTAAAGTTGTGTTGTTCTGTTTGTGATTGTTTGTGTATGAGTCTCAATGTTGGTGTCCATTGATAGTGTTTGTCTGTGTGTACAAAGACATAACAATGTATTATATTTGTTGTGAATAGGACAACTTACCTCCGTTAACAGCCCCCGGTCCATTTGAAATTTTGGATTGGGATGGAGATGATGTTGGGAGTGCGCCAATAGATGTTGAAGCCATACAAGTTGTGAGCAGGAAAGAAGTGAAAAAAAGAAAACGTTGTCGTTCCAAATACCAGTGCTCACCATATGTTGAGCCCATTGTCTCCATTCAACCTGCTATATTTCACCCAACTGATAATCATATTGCATCTCTAAAAGCTTGGATACAAGAAGCTGACACTGTTGAACCTAAAACGTTTGTTCTTAATCTGCCATCATTTGATGAAGTGGACAGGGACTTTTTCCGTGAGCTCGTGGAACCAGATGAGTCTTTATGGTCATATGTGAGTGACTTCTCATTTTCATATATTGTCATGTATAAATATATGTCTGACATTGTTTTTTGTTAGCATATGGATGCTCTTTCCTACCTGCTTCTGAAAGATTGTGCGTCGGACAAGCCGTATAAGCTAATAAGCCCTTACTTTGCGGTATGTGTTGTTTATCTGTACAGAACTTACATAATTATTTAAGATAACATTGCCATAATAACTTTTTGTTTGTGTAGCATCAAGTCATGACTAAGGATTATAAGGATGAGAATGCCTGGACTGCTGATAGGTGTCTACCTAGTGTTGACTGGAGAGGTTTACAAAAAGTAAGTGATTACCTTCGTTATTCAATTGTTTGTGTGTTAACTATTTTTTGTACGTATACAAACATAGCGCATAAGTTTTTTATTTATTTATTGTGTTCAGGTTTTTGTACCTTTGAATGTTGATGGGATGCATTGGGTTTTAGCGGAAGTTGACCTACATGCAAAATTGGTACGTGTATATGACTCCATGAGAACAAGTAGGTCAATGTTGCATGCGGCGCATTTGTGTGAGAGACTTCCGCTACTCTTCCGATTCATACAAGCCCACCCAGATCTTTCTAAGGTAGAGCATTGGAATGCTCAGCTAGCTGCAGATGTTCCACAACAAGAGGGAGGGTAATGTTAATCTGTTCACCTACAAATTTGTTTATGTGTAGTGTACTAATTTGTCTGTGAATACATATTAATTCTTTGTTATGTCTGTGTGGCAGAACTGTTTGCGGACTGATGGTTGTTTGTTATGTTGAGGCTTTGTTGTTGGGACTTCCCTTGACGCCACATTGCGAGTATGCGAACGTGGCTACAAAGAGATGGCACTTTGCGCTACGCCTTTGGAGTTTGAGGAAGCCAGTTTCTTAGAAAACATGCAATGTACATTTTTTTGCTAATCAGCTAATGTATCAAACATTATGTAGCTGTAAATATCTTTTTTTTGCTAACGGTTTAGGTTTTGGTAACCGTTTTTGGAATGGAATGTATGATAATGTACATTGTTGTGCTATGATCAACGTTGTACAATGTCCTACAAGGTACTTCCACAGGAGGGTACATATGAAGGTTGTAGAAAACATTACTCTGCTGATTTTTGTGTAACGAAGTAACAATTTGGTATGGAATGCATCATATTGTTTTTTTTTGTAAACCCTTGTGTATGTGAGTATATAATATTGTCTAGGCGAGGTAATACGTATGTCTGTGACTAAACTATATTTCACAAAATATTGTCAGTGACAAAAACCAGACAAAAAACTTTACAATTGTGCCACCAGTAGCTGCACCGTTTAACACCAAATATACATTTAACACCAATTAATTCACATCCAAGATAGATTTAAATCTAAACCAGTAGAGTACACCATTGGCACATTAGCTACACCGTTACTTTGGATCGTTGTGGCAGCGGCTCGTGCATTATCCTTCTTAGCCTTTCCTTTCTTCTTCCCCTTTTCTAGTGGACCCTTTGCTCGGTTTTTCCTTGGAGCTCCCTTGCGCTTCGTACATTTAGGATCTCCAATAGGTAGAACTTCGACCTCGCCACCTATACTTGTGGTTGGGTCTTCAAGTGGTGTCATGTTGCCACCAATAGAAGAATGGTTAACCGGAGGAGTATATGTGGACAATTGGGTGTCCAACCAAAGGAGGACTTCGTTGTATTTGGCCTCATCATCTGCTATCATGTTGGCAAAACTCTCAAAGGTCTTACATAACTTGTCAAAGCGGTGTTGTTCAACCGTTGTAATCCACCCGTCATAATTGATTTTCACTCGTTGGTACGCTCTTTTCATGTCTTTCCTCTATATTTTCATTAGGTACACCTCGGGCAAGAGTTGTATATCAAGCCGAATTAGGACCACAATTAAGTGTTTACATATCATTCCCCTAAACTCAAACAAATGACAACTACATATTCCAAAACAAGTAATTGGGTCAAACTCAATATAGAAGTTCACATTCTTCTTAAACCCATTAATATCCATACGCTCCTTCACCATAAAATTTTTACCGTCTTCACATACTAGGAGATCACAATAAAGCTTTCCAAGTAATTCCTTTTGAAACTCCGCAAACTTGGAAAGAGTGTAAATGTGTTGCACTTGTTTTTCCATTGGATATGTAGTCACACATGGAATCATTTTGGTAAATGAGTTAGTATCCGCTTGAAATTCTTTTTCCACCTTATCACGCAAAGCACATCCGTATTGTTCAACAAATTGTTTGAGAGTGGTTTTCGAATTCACATACTTATCAAAAAATGCGTTCATGCTGTCACTTCGTTGAGTTGTGGACATGCCCGCCCAAAAGGTTGGATTTAAATAACATGGTACTCAACGCTTTCTTTCATTGTACATCACCCCTAGCCATTCATGCTCTTCAAGTGAAAACCTGAAAGCATATACACTACAACAGCTCAGTTTCACAATAAATGAAAAATAATTTGTTCACTGCCCACAAACACTTTTATGACTGTGAACTACAAAATTTATTGTCTATGACCGATACACATGTCTATGAGCCAGAAAACTTACTGCCAGTACACAAAATTAAGCATACAAATTCATACCTTTGAACCATGTCAACCCATTTCTCCTCAAACTCTTGGGTGTATTGGGAATCATAAATGCAGTCATGCAAAACATTCAATATTTCATCTTTTTGTGCATCCCCTCCGAGTTTTTCGGGTACCTTTTTCATGATGTGCCATAAACACCATCGGTGGTTCGTGTTTGGGAAAACAAGTGCAATGGCGTTTTGCATAGCACGATCTTGGTCGGTAATAATCCCAATTGGAGCAATGCCATCCATACATTCAAGCCATGCTTTAAACAACCACACAAAGGTTTGTGTATCTTCATTAGAGACTAATCCACATCCTAGTAGCATTGATTGTCCGTGATGATTTACGCCGACAAATGGTGCAAATGGCATGTCATACCGATTTGTAAGGTAGGTCGTGTCAAACGTTATGACATCTCCAAATTCTTTGTACGCATATCTACACCTATTGTCAGCCCAAAAGACATTACACAATCTTGACTCCTCATCTAAGTCAAGTGCAAAGAAAAATCTGGGGCATTGAGCTTGCATTTTAGCGAAGAACCCTTGAATGGCAATTGCATCCCCACTACCTAACCTAAGTTTTCTAACTTTATCTATATAGTTCCTACAATCTTTTTCAATGAAGGGAAGTTGATCATACCCACCGGCCTCAACAACGGCCGCGGTGAAGCTTTTATTAAGTCGTATTCCCGCAACATCATTTATTGCAAGTTTCCTCGCCATTCCATGAGTTAACTTCCGATTGCATCGGAATAGGCGAGCCTTTGTTGGACTCATAGGATGTGAATGTTGTAAAAAGACTTTTGAAATTTGCCAAATTCCCGCATAATTTACGTGCGCTCGTAGTCTAGCTTCACACCCTATTTGCATTGAAGGTTGGGGCTTCAATTGATTTTTTGACTGACTACATCTTCGACCAGCCCGCGAACATTCTAGTAAAATTGACACAATGTGTTCTCCTCTTTTGTCTTTAGTTGTGCTCCTAGTTCTTATAGGAAATCCCAAACGCTTCCCGTATGCTTTGTAAAAATCATAGACTGCTTCTCTACTTTCAAACTCCATACCAACTTCCGGATCTTGACCAACTTCATTCTGTTTTGGCAGCTCTTCTCCATCTGTTATGTTACATGATTCATTTATTAATGTGTTCTAACCAACTTACAATATCACACAGACAGTGATATATGCACACAGACAATTCAAATCTTTCACAGACTAGTTGAAATACTACACAAACAAATAAATCTTCCACTGTCTTCATACACAAACAAACACACACATAAACAAGTGACAGCTCCTACGACTTGCATGTGTCACCAAACGTATGCATGCTTATGTGTCACAGGCACGTTGAATACTACACAAACAAACATGTTTATGACATTCTGCAAACACTAACAACCCACATAAAAAAGCATAAACCCACTAAAACTCACATAAACAAATAAATTAACACATAAACAAATTCCACCTCTAACAACATGCCTGTGAGAGTAAACGTATTTCAACGTTCAAGAAGATTACGTCACTATACCAAGGTCAGAAACGACGTCCATGGCCGCCGGCGACGTCAGCCCTTCATCTACCCCGGCTAGGTTCGTGTGATCGTCATCTTCTCCGGCTCCAAGAGTGCGTCCAACAACATCTCCAACTCCGGTGTTATCTCCAGACCCCTCTCCGCCTCCATCCGTCATCCCGTCACCTTCTCCAGCTTCGGCCGTGTGTCCTTGAATTTCTCCAGCTCCGGAAGACATCCCAACTTCACTGCCTCCGGGATTCTCATCCCATGAAGCCCAAAAATCGTCGAAGTTAGTCACAAACGTGTCGTCGTACGGATAATCCATCGAAGAGGAAGCTTTGTGAAGGTTGATGAAGGTGGAAGCTTGTTTGTTGATTTCGTTGAAGGGAAGAAGAGAAAGGAGTGACCGAGTGGGGAGGGAGTGAGAAGCGTGGGCCGGGTGGGGGAGTGAGGGGAAAAGAGGGGGGTAAATTTTTTTGGGTTTAAATAGTGTGTACATTGAGTGTACAAATTGTGTGTACAAAGAGCAATTTTGTTGTTGTAAATGTGGTCCTTTGAGGGGTGAAATGTACTGCTCGCCCATAGTTTACATTTCACCCTCAAAGGACCACATTTACAGCAAATTGGACAATTGAGGGGTGACATTTATAAACTCGGGAATACGGGTCTGACATTTCAATATGGTGACTATTTCAGGGACTAAGAGTGCTATTTTCCCTTTTTAATAATATATGAATGTTTTTTTGAATTTTTTAGTTCAGATCAATTTTGTTTGGTTTTTATTGGTTTCGTTCGATTCGGTTTAAAATGATTTAGAAGAAATAGTACCAAACTCAAACCAAATTGCATACGATCAGGTTCCGGTTTAATTTAGTTTGGTTTGATATGATTCAGTTCAGTTAAACCAAGCCAAAATGACCACCCCTAGTACAACCTATTAATCCTGATTATTGTTTTCTTTTAATAGTTGATTTATTTAGTTTGTTATTTTAAATAATACAATCAAGATATTCAATTAAATTTGTCAATTGCCTGAATGCATCATTATCCATATCCATTGAACTTTGTAATTTGAATGTCGCACTGAGTGCTTTAAAATAACACTTCGTAATTCACTTTAATTTTTAACTAAATTTTATTTTTAAATTTAGTATTCTCTCACATATAATTGAGATAAATAATTTGATAAAAAACTTTATTCAAATTAAGCATTGTTTCATGTTTCCTAATACAATATACCATCCACCTAGTTTTGTATTTTTGCAGTCCAATGATGTATAAATTCATTTTTATTCAAAATATAATGCAATATCAATTTAATTAAATATTTGGATATTTTTTCAATCTGAAGAGAAATGAGATGTTTATTGAGTTAATTTGTGTTGTTACAAATTGCACTTTTTTAAGGATTTTTGTTTTGCACAAGTAAACAACTATAAGACATAGAAACAGCTACCCATGCCATATAACGGACCACCCGATTTGCTGACCGCTTCACGTGGGAGAAAGTAATACTAGAAGACTTGGTTGATGCCGATTGAATTCCTTGAACCAATTGTACAACGTCTTATTCCATGTCAACTTGGTCCCACCCTGCTACCTTAATGCAGTTGAGTTCCTCTCTCATCGATAAAGCCTTCACCTCGTTCTTAAGCATACATCTTTAACATTAATCTAAACTTTCAATATGTGGCTATGCACTACTATAAATATACAAAGATATAAACTATCAACTATCAGATGCTTTTGGGATATATACGAAGATGCACTATTACTATCCATCGCGCGAATATTTGCCTTGTACTTGGCTATCTCCAAAGTCTTGCTCTCATTCGATGCAAGAATCAAGAAGAAGCATATCACTCCTTATTCTTCTAATTCACGTCTGTTTGGGTTATCTTCTCCCTCTCCTCGCGCCTCTTCTTCGGACCTATCAACTCGTCTAACGGATGCATCATTCGATCTTCTATGCACATGACCAAACCACTGCAATCGAGACTCCCGCATCTTATTTCAATAGGTGTTATTCTCACTTTTTGTCCGATGGTCACATTTCTCAAGCAGTCTTTTCTAGTATGTTCACACATCATATGCAACATGCACATTTCTACCACACTAATCTTTTGACTTTGACATTGTTTCACTGCACAACACTCTATGCCATAAAATAGTGCAGACCTAATTGTTGTTCGATAAAATTTATCCTTCAGTCTAGTAGGCATACCTCCCTCATTCACAAAGAAATCCAGACAAATTCTTCTATTTCACCCACTATGTTCTTGTAACACCGTCCTCAAGTATATTTACTTTTTACCAAATCATGTATTGAATCTTGAGAAATGGTTAATGAATTAACGAGGTTGTAATTTTTTTTATTACTTATGCTTGAATAGTAAAATGCACGTGGGGCCCTCACCGGGAGCGGGGACCGCCTGATAGGTTCAGGACCACATATTATATTAATCTTGGTCTTAATAATATTTAAATGGTGGTGATAATCTTGTTGGACCATAGAAAAGGCATAGAATTGACCGGTTGGTCAAACGAGGCTCAATTACCGTTAATGGTAATTTATCAGATAACGGTCTGTAATAAACTTCGGGGACTACTAAATTAAAGTTGGGGGATATATATATTCATTCAGATAACAGTCAGATAATAGTCTGTATTAAACTTCGGGGATATATAAACTTCGGGGATGTAAAAAACAGTTTATTCATGAAACCTATAAAATCAATTTTTTCATGAAACATATGAAATCATTTTTGTATTATATAAACAAAAACAGTTTATTTAGTTTTTTTATTTCTGTTTTAATCTATAAAATACAGTTTTTTACTTAATTTCAGTTTTTTTCCTATGAAACAGTTTATTATTAATTTTTGTATTATTTCAGTTTTTTATCAAACCTTATAAAATCAGTTTTTTACTTATCAAGCTTATAAACAATTTAAAAAAAGTATCTATAACGTATAAAATATTATAATGTTTTTTATGAAACGACATTTTTGTATTAATTTAAAAAAATTATTTATAATGTCCGAAATTAATTAAAAATCAGTTTTTATCAAGTTTTATAAATAATAGTTAGTAATATCCGAAAAAACATAAAAAAATTAATTAGCAGTTTCATGATTTTGTTGGGTTAGACATGTTAACTTTTTTGAAAGTGTAACATGAGGGGGCGAAAATTTGAGGAGTTGAAATTATTATTCTTAATAAATATCCGAAATTAACAAAAGCTCAAAAACTCAAAAATATCCTTGACTAAATATTTAATAAATTACTATTCTTAATAAATATCTGAAAAACTCAAAAACATATAAACATTCAAAATCTAGGGCATGCATTTTTAAATTAAGAGAGAACATGATTAAGCATATAAACAAATCATATGAACAAATCATGAAACATTAAATCTAGGGCATGCATTTTTAAATTAAGAGAGAAAACATGCATATGAGTATATAATCATATAAACACATAAAAAATGAATGCATATGAATATATGAACAAATCATTGAAACGTAAATATTTTTAGCATGCATTTTCAAAGAAGTAGAACATGCATTTGAGTGTATAATATTACAAACAATAGCATTTTAAATCATTTCCGATAATTTAAGTATACGGAAATATTTGAGTATGTAAGCACATAAACATATTGAACGTATATGAGATATGAACATATAAACATATTGAATGCATAACAACTTATTAACATATAAACATTAAATTAAACAATTAAACAATATTAAGAAAAACATGCATTTTGTTTTTGGCATTTTAAAACATTTATAATAAAATATTCGGAAATTAAAGAGTTAGAAACATAACCTCAATGAAGGAGAAGAAGGCAAGAAATGGAGAGGAGTGAAAGCTTTGAAGGACGGCGGCAGAGGCGGAGATGAACCGCGGTGGAGAGCTGTGTGCGGTGGCGGTCGGCATGTAAGAGTAAAGGGAGAAGTGTTAGGCTGAGATGGACTGCGGTGGAGGGTTATGTGCGGTGGCGGTCGGCGGGTGTAAGAGAAGGGAGAACGGTGGCGGTGGCGGTCTGTAAGAGAAGGGATAGCCAGAGAACGGTTGGGGGGGAAGTGTTAGGGTTTGGGAGCAAAATGAAAAAATGGCGAAGTGTTGTTTATATATTAGGGGTTGTCACGGACGGATCCGTGACAACACCTGTGACAAATTATATTCGAATTTTGAATTTGTCACGGAAAAATCCGTGATAAATTCATCGGAAATTGAATACTGAGGGACGGCAGTCGAGGCGTCAGGGAGCGGCAGACAAGACGACATAAGCGGCAGGTTGACCGGTTTGTCACGGATGTATCCGTGACAAATCCGTGACAAAATTCAAAAATCCATTCCAGGGAATATTAAAGCTTTTCGGCCTTTTTCAGGCGAGGCGTCAGATACCTTAATTGTCACGGACCTATTCGTGACAAATTTAAGTATAAATATGTGCTTTGATCCCCAATTTTTCAGTGCGAAAAAATGGCTAATCCAGAACCAGATGTGTAGAAGTTGATCAGTAGAAGTGTACAATGATTAAAACAAGTTACACAGTTGATGAAGCCTCGAAATGCAGAAGCAGTTCAAAGCATCCGTGAGCTGATGAGTAGACCGCTTGAAAGCTTTGGCGACATTGTAGACTATGAATTAGACTCATACAACGTTTCACGAGGGAAAAACTTGTGTAGGGCACTTTTTCGTGCAGAACAATGTTCGGAGTATATGATACCTATAAATGCGGAAGCTGCAGAAAGAATTAACGAGCTACTTGATAGGCCTCTAGATGAAAGCTTTGACGTTAATGAATAATATTGTGTTTATTTGTTTATCTGTATTGTGAGTTGTTGAATGTAATAAATGATAAAAAAAATTGTATTTTCTACTTAGTTTTTAAATTTAATAAATAAATTCATGTTCTTGTTTATTAAATTTCGAATTATTAAAATTTTGTAATGTTAAAAAACTAATAACAAATAATGTTAAAAAATTGGAATGATTAAAATTTAAATAATTTTCACTTTTCGAATTACCTAATTAATTTTAAAGTTCCAAATTGATAATAATGAACCACTAATTTTCGATTTAATAATTTTAAAAACTTAATTTTATTAATTAATTAATCGCTATTTTACAATATAATATGGAATAATTATTTTGTTTAGAAATTATAGTTGTGAATTACATACCTAACTATCTTGGAATAATATAATAATGACGAAAGAAAGTTAAAAATTCAAATTAAAATAGTTCAATTAAAAGTAATTACATTGGTTGTTAACTATACATTTAATCGCTATCAGAATCAGTATTTTCTTGATAGCCAACTTCTTCTTCTGTATCTTCATCATCATATATTCATTCTTCTTCTTCCTCCTGGTCATCGTGCAGTTGCTGTATATATTATTCTTCAATTTCGCGCTCATTTTGAGGTATAGGGGGCGGAAGGTGTGTTTCAGGCATGACTTCAACATCTCTGTCATTTGGGTCACTTAACTGAATGTTATGGTTAACCGTGTCAGCAATAGGCGGAGGTTGGAAAAAAGCTTGCTGAAAAGCATCAAAGTCAATATCCTTATGTTGAGCCTGTGTTACAATTTTGCTCGGACGGATATTAATGGCACACACCCAAGGATTCCATGTGCGCCTCGTTGAAGGAAACTTTGCATAATAAACATGGGCTGCTTGTTGAGCGAGTATAAAAGACTCATTTTTTTTATACACATGAGAGTGGTTGACGTCAATTATATTATACTTTGAATTTTTTCTCACACCACGTGTAGGGTCGACCCATGTGCAGCGAAACAACACGCATGTCAATTCTTGCAAACCAGAAGGCATTTGAAGTTCGAGAATCTCATGTAAGAAACCAAAAAAATTGGTTTCCGAGTTATCAGAACCGATGGTCGGGACACATAACCCGATGTTCATTGTTGGTCGACCTTCTCCATATTCGACTGTGTGATACGTATAACCGTTTATCACATATGAATGCCAAACCTTTGCATAGGAAGAAGGCCCCCACGATAATGATACTAACAGAGGGTCGTTAATCCCACGGTACCTGATCTGCAAATTAAAACATGATAACATTAGGTAATGATTAAAAATTATTAGCTAATAGTATATGTAATGTATTTATATATATACCTGCTGTTGGTACCATAATGCAAAGTCAGAGTCCACCATTGCATCAATTGCATCATCGGGAAATGCTGATAAAGACGCTCTAAATTCACTGTGAATTGAAACATAAAGATATTATTATAACACTCTAATTATTAAAAAAATATTAGCTATATTACAAATATTACTACCAATTTAACTTACTTATAAAATGGTAAGATTTCTGGACAATTCATGAGGATGTAAGTATGTGCAATTTTCATTTCTCCGCCCACGATGTAACGGTAAGTCGCAGCTCCTTTACCTCTACCTGGGTAGTTGAAAATAGAAACTACTTTGTCATATGAATCATCGCCAATGTCATCGTTCCGAGCAGGTCTCTTTCTTTTACTGATGACTTCACGCTCAAAATAAAAAGATGAAAACGTTGAGGTTTCTTGTTGAATATATGCTTGACAAATTGAAGCCTCAATGTGTGCCTTGTTGGTCGCTTTCTTTTTCAAATCTCCCAGAAATCTGTCATGCAAAATAAAATTTGTAAACAAACAAATGTTCTTATTAAACAAATCATCGTTTATAAATGAAATTGTGACTAACCTTTCAAATCTGTACATCCAACGATAGAATACGGGCCCTCCATTCAAAGCCTCATACGGAAGATGTATTAGAAGATGTTCCATTATATCAAAAAATGATGGGGGCAGTATATTTTCCAGATTACACATCAGAATAGGAACATTGTCTTCTAGTCTCCTGAGGGATTCAGCATCCAAAACGGTGGAACATATCGACTGAAACAATTGATTGATTTCTGTAATACAGCCCAGACGTCTGCAGGAAGCATCTCTTTCAGTGCAATCGGCAGAAGTCGTTGCATGATTACATGAGCATCATGAGTTTTCATGCTCGACGTCATTGTTTGTTTGTTCAGGTCCACGCATCATGACAGGTTAGAGCAATAGCCATCTGGAAAGTTTAGAGAAACAAGCCACTCTAATATTGATTCCCTTTGTGGGGCTGTGAGTTGGTAGACTGCTCTTGGATTTTTTTTACCCACATATTCTAGATCGACGGCGAGTTCGGGTCTGTCGCACCAAATTGTCATGTCTTTTCTAGATGCAAGACCGTCTTTGGTTTTGTGGGTAAAAACCATAACCGTGTTAAATATATTGTCAAATACGTTCTTCTCAACGTGCATGACATCTAAATTTTTACGAATGAGAAGGTCTTTCCAATATGGCAACTCCCAAAATATGCTCCTCTTTGTCCACTTATGGGTATCACAATACCCATTTGGCTCCCCGTAGGCTTGCTGCACAGCCGTAGGAAAACGTCGAACCCGGTTAAAAACTTGTTCACCTGTAAGTCTCGGAGGAGGGGGGTCTTGTACCACTCTTCCGGCAATAAAAGACTTCTTGTCCTTTCGATATCGATGGTTAATAGGCAGGAACTTGCGGTGACAATCAAAGCAACTTGGTTTCCCGCTAAATTTGAGCCAATTGGCATCTGATTTCTCCACACATATCGGACATCCCATAAGATCGTGTGTGCTCCATCTTGAAAGCATACCATAGGCAGGGAAGTCGCTAATGGTCCAAATGATGGCAGCTTTCATGATAAACATTTCATCTCTTGAAACATCATAAGTTGGTGTCTCAATGGCCCAAAGTTCTTTCATCTCCTCGATCATGGGTTGGAGATAGATGTCTATCCTTTTTTTAGGATCCGAGGGACCTGGACAAATTAAAGTTAAAAAGATGAAATGACTTTTCATGCACATGTCGGGAGGAAGATTATAAGGAGCTAGCATAACTGGGCAACATGAAAATTTCTTCCCAAACTTTCCAAAAGCAGCAAATCCGTCTGAACACCATCCTAGTCGCACATTCCGTGGCTCCATTGCAAACTGAGGATGACAACGGTCAAAGTGTCTCCAAGCTTCACAGTCAGAAGGGTGAGACATCAAACCCTCTTTGGTTTCGTGCTCAACATGTCACGTCATGTGTTTCGCAGTAGCATTTGAAGCATACATCCTCTTCAGGCGTGGAGCTAGAGGGAGGTAAAACAATTTAGACAATGCAGACATTTTTCGTAGTTTTTTCGTCTATGAGGAACAGGCCTGTATCTCTCTCCACCATAGAACTTGCAGCTCTCAAGTGCCACATCATCCTTCCAGAACAACATACATCCTTTCGGGCACGCGTCAATTTCTATACAAGGAAGCCCCAACTGAGACATTAATTGTTTCATTTTGTAATATGAATCAGGAAGATTATGGTCACGCGGTAACATTCCTCCAAATGACTGCAATAAACTAGACATGCAAGATTCAGGGAGACTGTATTCAGATTTAATGTTCATCAACTCTGTAACGGCGGATAGCTGAGAGTATCCCTCACAATCAGCATACAGAGGCTGCTCGGCAGCTTTTAAAACATCTTGAAATCTTTCAGCTAAGTCTTCAATATGAGGAACATGAGAATTCGGATACTCATCCGCATCATGCTGATAAAAGGTCGGGTCTTCATCCGCATCTGGTTGATACGAGGTCGAAGCTTCGGGAAGATCGTTAAATGGTTATGGGGGGTTAAAGTGAATCGTTGAAGCACCGTACACATCATATGCCATTCTTTGATCTCACATCATTTGATCATAGTCTCCCCATCCACTCATCTCGGTAGGGACGTTACGAGATGAACCTACTGTTTGTGGTAAAAGTGATGGATCGAAAGGTTCGCCATGAGAAGTCCAATTATAATTGGCAACGAAACCTTTTTCGTACAAATCCACACAACTTGGTCGGCATCTTTAAATTGAAGATTTTTACACTTTGTACATGGACATCTGATTTTATCGTCATCCATATAATTCTTCAGTTCTTGTGCAAATTTAATAAAATCTTCAACACCATTAAAAAATTCACTGCGTATTCCATAGTTATCGCGATGTTTTTGGTACATCCAACTTCTGTTTTGTCTATACATTATGCCAGTATATATATCATAATCAAAATATTATATAAGTACACTAAGTAACGTTCAATTAATATTATTAATTAACTAAAAGCAGTACATTTGTGGCATTAATAATTTGAATTAACTAACTTTTCAATCATGACTAATTCATATTTAGAAACATTAATATGTTAAATTTCACTAAAATTAATATGTTAATGGCTGGAATTAATAATTTACTAATATAATGTTCACTAAAATTAATACAACCTAAGCTAGCTAGGTTGAACTTAGTGAACTTAGAATATATTAAAAATGTTAATATATTGGCCGGAATTTAAATAATTTACTACTATAATATTTTAAACATATATTAAAAATTTAAGCTGGCCGGAATTAATAATTTACAAATATAATGTTCACTAAAATTAATACAACCTAAGCTAGCTCGGTTGAACTTAGTTCACTAAATTAACAATTATCACCAATATGTTATAATGTTTACTAAAGTTCACTAAGACCTCAAAATAAAATATTAAAGACTATTTTATATATTTCACTCAAGTAACATTAATATATTAAATTTTATTAAAGTTCACTAAAATTAACTAACGTTCAATTAAAATTACTAATTAATTAATAGTAACATGTTAATGGCATTAATCGTTTTAATTATTAACTAATTCACAATATTAGAATTTGTGCACCAAACACGCTAAATTATTACGTTAATGGCATTTATTCACAATAGTAAAATTATGAAAACCTAATAGTACACATTAAATAATTAACTAACATATAATACTAATTAAAGTTACTACGTTAATGACATTTATTCACAATACTAAAGTTAACTAATTTAACTTATTAATTAGTTAATTTCCATTTAACTAATATTGATAAATATCATTAATTCACAATAATATATAATTCACACTTAACTAATAAAGTTTGAATCCTAACTTAAATCACTACAAATCCTAAATTATGCATTAACAATAATTATTGCTAATAAACAAATTAAACCTAATCATAATTGGTTATAAACTCATTTCAATTAACTAATATTTAAATCTAACTAATATTATCAACTCAAATTCTAAACCCATTTCACTAAAGTTCAATGTTTTAACATAGTTAATTAATTTACATTTAACTAATATTATTGTTAAATATTATCTCGATCATTAATTCACAATAATAATTCACACTAAACTAATTAATAAAGTTTCAATCCTATATTATGCATTAACAATAATTGCTAATAAACAATAATTGGTGATAATAACCTAAGCTAGCTAACTTAAATCACTACAAGTCACTAATTAAGCTATAATAAGCTAGCTAAAACTTAAATCACTACAAATCCTAAATTATGCATTAATAACAATAATTGCTAATAAACAAACCGGCATAATCATCGGTGATATAAACTCATTTCAATTAACTAATTAATATTTATATTTAAATTTAACTAAATTACGTTAATAGTTTAATAATATATTGTTAATAATATGAAAATTAACATAACCTCACTAAATTATGTTAATAGTTTAAATAAATGAACAACTAACCTCACTAAGCTAATAATTTATTACATAATTAAAAGAAATTAGTTAAAATGACATACCTTATCTGCATAAACAGGAAAAATGATGAATTGACAGATTACATCATTCAATCTTTAAACCGATACTACATCACTCGAATCTACGAATTTTTGAACCGATAAGTGTTGTTCTTGCAATTGTAATGGACGATGGGGTTGGGATGTATAAAAAAATTTGTCACGGATTTGTCACGGATTTATCCATGACAACCCCTTTTTCGTATTGTATTATTAAAGATTGTCGTTCGAAAATCAATAATTGAGGTTTGTCACAGATTTTGTCACGGATGGATCCGTGACAATTTTTTTTAAAATTTGTCACGGATTTGTCACGGATCTGTCCGTGACAAATGCCCGAGAGCAAAAAATGTTTTCGCCAGAGTAAAAAACCGGTCGCCGGAGTAAATTTGTCACGGAGTAAATCCGTGACAATTCTTTGTTACGGATTTTGTCACGGACCTATCTGTGACAACACGTTTTCGTGACAAATCCCAATATTTCGTGACAAAGTCAGTGACAACTTTGTCACGGCCGTAATCCGTGACAAAAAATCGTGACAAAACACGAATTTTTTTGTAGTGTCGAATAGACTTTTCAGGACACATTGGGATGAACTCCAACATGAGTGGGGTACACCCCACGTTTTTGTGTGCTCAATTTGACAAATGGGAGCCGGATAGACAAGGGGAGGTGTATGAGTACAAAGAAAGATGGAAAGGGGGCCCTTTCCTTATATTATTTGGGAGATGTGCCAAAAAGGCAATCCCCTCACACACCTACTCTATCAACTTCGACCCATCAACCAAGAAAGGAGAGAGAAGCTCTAAATTATTCACCTCCATAGCTAGAAGATTGAGCTCAATCAAGAAGAAGTCCAGGGAAGGAGGAATAAAAAAGAGAGGAAAACCTTAGGGGTCCATCATATGACTTATACATCATATGATGGACCCCTAAGATTATTCTACATGTTTAGAAGTATAAAATGAGGGGTTGGATGGTGGTTCTAAGTTCAAGAACAAACTTAGAAGCCAAAGTGACTGGTTCACCGAAAAATAACCTTTTAGAGGTTATTTGTATTAATATGTATTTTGGGATATTAAAATATTATTAGGAGCCTGTCTACCTCTTCAGTCAGATGACCATGAAGAAAATCATTTTTGACATCCAATTGACGAATACACCAACCAAGAGAAACGACAATAGATAAAACAAGACGCACAGTAGTGGGTTTTACAACAGGACTGAAAGTCTCGATAAAATATATACCAGCATACTGTTTAAACCCTTGAGCTATCAACCGAGCTTTGTGACGCTCCACGATCCCATCAGAATTCTATTTTGTCTTGTAAACCCACTTACAACCGACTATATTTTTAGTGTTGTCATAAGGAAGTAAGGAACTAAATCCCAAGTCTTATTAGCAAGTAAAGCATTAAATTCATCCGACATGGCAGCCCACCAAATAAAATGTTTTTGAGCTTCATAAAAACAAGTGGGATGTATATTATGAGGTAAAGAAAATGGGACATGCGAGGGAGCTGACTGGCTAAGGCAGGAAGATGTGGGATCTGTCGTTGAGGTAGTCTCGGGCAGCAGGTCTGGAGATGTAGGAGGAGTGGGCTGCGAACTTAGGGAAGCAGCAGGAGACTGCTGTGGGCCAGAGGACGGAGTGGGGGGTCAGCGGAAGGAATATGGACTGGCAGGATAGGAGATATTATGGGTGAAGACGTGCTGGGATTGGAGTGAGGGAGAAAGGAATGGTGGTGTGCCACAGGTGTAGTAGGAAGGGGCAGGGCCGGTCACATCAGAGGTAGGAACCCAAGGAGAGGGTAAGGTATATGGTAACGTAGTGGAAGTGGGGGGAATAAGACGGGAATATGGAAAATCTTTCTCATGAAATTGAACATCCTACTAATATAAACCCTACCAGAAATGGGGTCTAAGCAACGATAACCTTTATAACCCGGGACATATCCTAGAAAAACACAATGTGTGGAGCGAGGTGAGAGTTTATTGGATGACTTGGATATAAAATTTGGAAAACAACTACAACCAAAAACTCTAAGAAAATTAAAATCCGAAGATTTATTAAAAAGCTTCTCGAAAGGAGTTAAATTTTGCAACATGTGTGTGGGTAAGCGATTGACAATATAAGTGACAGTATATAAGACATCTACCCAAAAAGTAGAAGGAAATGAAGATTTAATCAACATAGTCCTAGTAAGTTCAAGAAGATGGCGGTGTTTGCGTTCAGCCACTCCATTTTGGGCAGGTGTATTGGGTCAGGATTTTCGAAATAAAATGCCCGACTTCGAAAAATGATTTTGAAAAGCAGTGTTATCAAATTCGCCACCCTCATCACTTTGAAAAGATTTAATTTTCCTATCTAAAAGATTTTAAACTAAAATTTGAAAATTACAAAAATGCTGAAAAACCTCAGATTTATAGCGCATCGGATAAACCCAAGTATACCGAGAAAAGTCATCAATAAAAGAAACATAGTATTTATAATCAAGATTAGATAAAATCGGCGATTGCCAAACATCAGAATGTATAAGTTCTAAAGGAGCAACACAGGAATGAATAACATCCTTAAATGGAAGTCTATGGGATTTACCCAGTTTACATGAAACACGGTTATCCTTTGCGGCACTAAGGTAAATGAAAATGATGAAATGATGACATGAAACACAGTTATGAGAAAAATTACTAGAAGCAGAAATAAAATGTTTTTGCCGCAGCGTATGTAAAACTTTATCACCACAATGCCTCAATTGTTTGTGCCAAGTAGGTCTAGAAACAAGGGTTGTCTGAAGAGCATGGAACGGATGAAGATGGCCTTTATTGGAAGTATGAAGTAGATGCACCCCGTCTGTTTGTCCTTAATAAAAGGGAATATTTATTAAAATTCACCGTACAATCATTATCCGCACATAACCTATGAATAGATAACAAATTATATTTTAGATGTGGGACATGATAAACGGAATTTAAAATTAGCGGGCGACCAGGTGTTTTTAAACTTACTTTACCAACATGAGATATGGGCAATTTAGTACAATTAGCAATTTGCACCGTTTTAAAGCCTGCGTAAGGAGATTTACAAGAGAGAATACCTTAATGAGGGGTCATGTGAGTCGAGGCACCTAAATCAGGGTACCACACAGAAGTGTTGGATTCACCCGAGGGAATATCATGTAAGCGCAGAGGGACCTGGTGAAAAACAGATTTGGCAAACAACTGGAGGTGGAGGTGAGCTATCCACAGATGGAAAACCTGTACTGGTGTTGTTAGTACCACGTACAAGCAGATAAATGATTTAAGTATGAATAACCAGGTTGGACATTACTTAATAGTGTACCTGAATTTCCCGACTGAAAAGGACCTCGAGGAGCACCATAGAAGGGCTGGCCGTACTGCTGACCAGCCTGGTCTGACTGAAATGCGGAGCATATGATCCATGTGATTGCAGAAAATTACCTCCATGCCCCCGTCAATGTCCGCGTTGTCCACGATCCCCACGGTGGCCACGGTTCACGTGATTTCTGCCTCCCTGACCTTGAGCAGCACCCCCGCGATCACCAGAGGACCCCCGCGAGCAGCAACAAAGGCCCGAGGCGCTGACAGTGAGTCTTATGCACGAAGAAACAAATTTCGCTGCTCTTGAGCGAGAAGGATGGGGCGTAAAGTAGCAAGGTTTGCATCTCCCGGAAAATAAGGATTCATACTCAGGACTCAAACCATTAATGGTATATTCAACGAGCTCCTTATTACTCACGGGAGAATTAATCATATTTAAGGAATCAGCTAGAACTTTAATTTCCAACAAATATTGGTCCATTGACATATTTTATTTCTTCTTAATGTGGGAAAGTAGCCTCTTAAGTTCTAGAGAACGAGCCAGACAAGCAGACATAAACCTAGTTTCAAGACATTCCCAAATTCTGATAGAAACCTTTAGATCATGAACCTCCATAAGTATATCACGGGACAAGGTGACAAACAACCATGATCTAATGGTTTGGTCAATTTTTAACCAGTGATGATATTCCGGATTAGGCATTTCCCGTCGAGTAGTGTCATGAATAAATTGTGGCGGAGTCAAAACAAAGACATATAGAAGCCCCAAAAGACTATGGGAAACAAGAAAGGACTCGAATTGAGTACGCCACGGGAGATAATCCTCAACGACATTCAACCGAGTAGTGACAATGTTTGTAACATTAGGTGTTGAAAACGCCATGTGCGATGCCAATGAAGCCAAAAAGGTTGTAGGAGAAGAAAAACCTAGCATATGTTGGGTCTGGTGAGGCGGTAACGGAGCAACACCCGACTGTCTAGAAATCGTGGGTCCTGAAAATACTGTCTGCGACGAAACACCACTGAGAGTAGGAAAAGTTGGCGCTGATGAAGAAGGGACATACTGTGGCAGAAACGACGATGCAGGGAAGGAATCCAACATGTTGCTGAATAAGCGATAGGAGTTGACCTGCTGCGGAAATTGAAGGCCTGGATGGATACGGAAGCCCGACGTTGCTGCAAAATCATCTGATCCCAATGCAGGAGAAGGCAACGAAAAAGCCATGGGGAAAGACGTAGGCGACACCATGGAGATGCTGGGTGCCATCGTTGCTGTGTCTACTACTGTAGAAGAAGAAAGGGGTGCGACAGGACTTGATCCCGCTGGAGAATCGGCAATCCTCATGGAGAAAAATGGACGACGCGGAAGACCTAGGGTACCTAGGCTCTGATACCATATGCAATATTATTTCTGGAATGATTGTTCACCCTAATAGGGTGTGCTAGTAGTGTATTTATAATAAACCAAAAGTCAAATAATTACAAAGATGTCCCTATATTATGGGCTATTACTATATACTCATAAGTGATTGGATGATATTGGGATTCCCAAGTGTATATACTCATATGTATGTCAAGACTTGGGGGAAAAGGTATACGTGTATGCATCACCTATGTTTGAGTCTTATACTTGAAACATTAGTTATTCTACATTTAACCTGCTTCTCGCTTTGTATTCTCGTACTGACTCCTTCAGGGCCCCCACCACTTTTAGGTTGAAGTTAGGGTTTGCTACTTGCACCTTCGTACGAGTGAAATCACATTCAGGGAGATGAGGTTCATGTTTCCTTATTATCCTTTAAACCGCAAACACCTGCTCATGGATATTTTGTACTCGTAATGAATATTTTGTTTTGGACCTGCGAGCCCACGTTTGTCATATGTGACCCATAATTGATTTTTGAATATTTCCGCTAGCTAAAAGACTCCTACGAAAGCCAAAAGACTGCGTTGGGCCTTTGGACCTCTAAGACTTAACCTCAATAGGGAGTAAAATGTTTGAGAATCTCAGAATATGACTATATGTGTGTTATGTTTTTAGTACCTAAGTAAGTGTAATTATAGTCAAAAGTGTAAAATACTGCTAGTTATGGCAACACACCACCATGTTTAAAGCATGATACTGCTAAAATATAACAGTAATTTTTAAGATGACAAGTACTTCTTTTATGCAATTATAGCTATTATAATACAGAGTATTTGTTTTACATTAAATGTTACTCCCTCCATCCCTGAAAATACTTCCAACTTTCCCTTTTCGTCCGTCCCAAAAATAACTTCCCTTTTCTTTTTTGACAAAGAATTTGTGGTACACAACATTTCTCTCTCCTCTGCACAACTCTCCACCACACAATTCCCACTTTCTTAATCCGCGTGCCACTTTATTTTGGAAGTAAATTATGGGACGGAGGTAGTAACATTCTTGATTAAAATGATACTCAAAATTGTGAGTTCCTCTTTGAGAGTATCACAATGATGTCATCAGATCATAAATAATATTTTACTCTCGATGACAATAAAACACATCTATTTAGCTAAAAACATGATGGAGTATATAGACTCGGACCCCCGGGTCTCACGACTATTGGGCCCGGACAGCGGCCCACTCACACTTATCGGACGTCATTTATATCATTTGTATTATTGTAGAGTTCGTATATCATCTGTATGTACTAGATTAGTCTTTTATGTAGTTGGGCCTATCGGGCCCATATTAGCGGCCCGACCCATTATTTCTCTATTTATACTCCTTTTGGAGCTTGTAACCCTACAACATAATTACTCATTCACACTCTACTATTCATTCATCTTCTTCACTATCTTTAGCTCAAATCTCTCCTAATAATATAAGATTGGATACCCTATAATCCATCAATGGTGCTCTCGTTGAGAGTTTGAGCAATAATCAAGTAAGAATCCTCCCAAAAAACATCCCAATTACAAAGAAATTTAGTAAAACAGTTCTGGAATTTTAGATCTCGATTTCCCAGATCTGAGTCGAAGTCGTCGTTAGCGTCTATGTCGTCACCGTCTATGTTACCGTCGTCGTACGCCATCTGTCAAAGCTCACCGCACCTGTCGAAGTTAGTCACGCCGTTCCAGAGAAGTGGAATCGCCACTCCAGACCTCAGGTCTCAGAAGATTCGCCATTAATGATGGTTTTGAGTTCATGAGAAGCAGATCCAGGGCTGGCTGGAGCCATCTTCTCCGTCCCGTCACTGCCTTGTCCTCTCTCTTCCTGTCGAGCTATGCACTCAGTTGTGGATCGACATAGCAGATCTGTTCTATGCGGGTTTTTTCTCCTTCGGCAACTATGGTGGTCGTCATCGTGGCCTCCATCAACGTTGATGCCTTCCGCCCTCGTCTCTTGTGGCAGCAAGGTGTGACTTCTTCTTGGTGCCGGTGAGCTGCGTAGATGGTGGACGAGCAGGCATCATGGGCATAACTTGGTTAGACGAAGAGGTAGAAGTGTTCGGCCAATTTCTAAAACAACAGCTGAATGTTATCCCCTGATTTTGACCAAGTCAAACTGAGTGGGCGCAGAGAAGGATTTTCAACCCAGCAGCTCAACAATTAAGTGGTATATCAACATACACGGCCCAATCGAAAGATAAGTATTCAAAACTCTTCTATTTATTAATAGTCAAAAGTGAATTTGATAAGATGTACACAAAAATAATCATAAATGAAATATTTTAATAATATAGCATCAAACTTCAATCTCGAGGGGCGAGTCATCCGTTAAAAGACCCTTAAATGCGCATGTCTGGCGGATCCCAGCTACGAACTTGAGTGACGAGTTGAGCTAGATTATTAATTTACTATCATTACTTTTGAAGACTTCCAAAAGGTCATAAATGAAATATTTTAATAATATAGCATAAAACTTCAATCTCGAGGGGCGAGTCATCCGTGAAAAGACCCATAAATAGCGTCTAGCGGATCCCAGCTACGAACTTGAGTGACAAGTTGAGCTAGATTATTAATTTACTATCATTATTTTTTTAAATAGTGTGTATTTTTTGACATTGAAAAAATGGACTTATGAAATTCCGAGCACTCGAGTACACCGGGCGAGCACACACACTCGCGCCACCGGGTCACGTCAAACGAGTGTGGATAGTAAGCTCCCAATCCAAATGTTATCTAATGCATACTTTAGTTTCTATGTTTTGTATGAGTTATGTGTGCCCTCTAGCTATCGGAAATGAACTGCAATCCCTCAGCGGTAGGTTCAGTCCTTTATGCGTGCCACGCTCCAACTAAGCATAGAAACCTAGCTTGAGCTGCATCTTGGAAATTTGAGGCAACTTGATTTAGGCCCCAATCCACAAGCAAATTATAAGCTCAAGAAATTATAACAATTTTATTTGAATGCATAGGTGCAACTATATGATGACATCATACCGGCCACTTAGCCGTCTCTCATGGTCATCTTTATTTGATGGCTTGGACTTCTTATAGACCTCTCGGCCACACGTCTCGGTCACTTTATTTGATGACCCGAACATCATATTATGGACGGTCACTCGACCTATCTCTTAGTCATCTTTATTTGATGACTAGGACTACTTATCATGCCGAGCTACTCACATCTAGAGACTGGTCTCGGTCATCCCCTCAGGAGACATACACCGTTGTAGCTCCACACCTAGGCCGAAGGGCTCACCCCTTTTGCTTCATTTTGGGGGCATCCGGTGTACTCTTTTTCCCTCATTAGGATTTTTTCCCACCGGGTTTTTTCCTAATGAGGTTTTTAACGAGGCATCTCCCCATTGTGGATCAAAAGGTGTCGACCCTCGGCCCCTATTGAAGACATAACGAGACATGCATTACTCTACTCCTCTTCACCTCACTACATTCACCTCAAGGAGTGGGGGACTGGAAGGGCGGGGGACTTAGCGCCTCCGTTAGCCCAAGAAGCAGAAATTCAAATTTTTTCACGAAGTTTCCTCATCAGACGATAGATAAGCACACAGTTCTACTCCCTTTCGCCTCGAGTACTCTCGACTCAGGGAGTGGGGGACTCCTGATGGAGTATATAGACTCGGACCCCCGGGTCTCACGACTATTGGGCCCGGACAGCGGCCCACTCACGCTTATCGGACGTCATTTATATCATTTGTATTATTGTAGAGTTCGTATATCATCTGTATGTACTAGATTAGTCTTTTATGTAGTTGGGCCTATTGGGCCCATATTAGCGGCCCGACCCATTATTTCTCTATTTATACTCCTTTTGGAGCTTGTAACCCTACAACATAATTACTCATTCACACTCTACTATTCATTCATCTTCTTCACTATCTTTAGCTCAAATCTCTCCTAATAATATAAGATTGGATACCCTATAATCCATCAAAACACAACTTTCATTTGTTGGAATTCTGAAATATTTTAAAAATGTTTTTCCTCTAAATTTGTTTATTGCAATGACTCAATTATGGAGTACATGGATGCTATTTATTAGGGGCGTTTGTCGGTTCGGCTTCACCGGTTGCAGTTTGATCGGTTCAGTTTTAGAAAATGTAAAATCGAGAATTGAATGCCACAAATTGAGTCAGGTTCTTAACACATTATTATTGGTTTCGGTTCGATCAATTTTCTAAAACCAAAACTAAAAACCGTAAATCGAAGCGTCAATGATTAAGCGGTTTGAACCAGTTTCGATTGGTTTGACATCAATAGATTTCATTTTTTCTGATTTATATTCACCCCTACAAGTACTTATGGGTATTTAGATTTAAAACTGTTATTACTCCTTCAAAAAGAAGATAAAGATATATCGAAGTGTTCTAGTAAAAACTGATTCTCATTTTACTTCCCAAACATTCTTAATCAGGCAAACACCTCCTAATGAGGGCGCGTAGCTTCTGGAATTCTCCAGTCTTTCTATTTGTTCCGCACAACCAGTGAAACCCCTTTCAGTCTTTCGCGATTGGAAGTTCGAACATCGAAAACCCTAGAGGTACTCTGCTCACGGATACGATGGCAATTCTATCTGACTATGAAGATCCCGAAAACAATACGCCTACTTCATCGGAAGCCGTGACGAAGGCGTTTAAGGCTGTTCTTGATCCCGCCAACCCGCTTGGGTTTCTTGAGGCGGCGTTTGAGTTCGTCGCCCGAGAGTCTGATTTGTTCAAGAGCGACTCCTTGATCAACGATGTGAATGCTGTGGTTCGAATGGTCAAGGAAAAGGTTCAAACTGATGAGCGAAGGCAGATGGATATAGACAAAGGGGCGAATGGGAATGTTGAGGATAAGATGAAGGAGGCGCCGATACCTTTAGCAGCTGCATCACCCAAGGAGGTGAAATTAGAGGAGGAGAAGACTACCGAAATTAAGGAGGAAAACAAGAAAGGACCTCGAGGTATTGGTTAACTCATTTAGGAATACGTTTGTTGTTTTTTATTGTGTTGGGCGACAATCTTTTCAATTCATAAGTATAAACGTGTCTTGTCTATGAACACATAGGCTCCTTGCCCCCTTTGCATCTCTATCTAGCATAGTACTAATAGTAGTATGCATGTTCTTGCTTTATGTATATGTGTGCTTGTGCCCTGTCATTGACTTTGTTATCATATACTCTGCACAATAGAATGTCATACGCTGCTAGTTGCATTGCTTTTTTGTAACTGGCACAATGTGTGGTGTATGTAATGAAGTGGTTGCAAGCATGGTTGCATTGCTTTTTTGTCATTGACTTTGTTATCATATACTCTGCACAATAGAATGGAATACGCTGCTAGTTGCATTGCTTTTTTGTAACTGGCACAATGTGTGGTGTATGTATTGAAGTGGTTGCAAGCATGGATGGAGGATGGAAAGTAGGTTGAAGTCTAAAGGTGATTAACTTCTCAGTTCCATGGAAGAGAAGGTGGCGCCTTACCTTGTCAAGACACCATGGAATAGATCCAAATTTACAAATAATCTTGTTAATACTAGTTTCAAAAGTATTGGCAGATTAGTATTAGGGTAACCCTAAATCAATTACTTTACTTCTGTTAAGAATAAAATTTAGATTCCTATACTAATAAGAAAGAACAAATAACAATAATAAATAGTACTAAGATAGGAAACAATCGGTGATGATGATGATAATATAAAAATAACAATAATTGTAACAACAATAATGATAATAATAGTAATTATTATAATCATACAAGAGAAATGCCCACATGATCCACATCGTTACTCCCCTTGCGTATATCAAGCTTGTCCTCAAGCTTGAATGAGAGTAATAGTGAAAGCCCAACTTTTCCAAGACCAAATTGAATCATTATGAAACAAACAATCTTGGTGTTTTGATATTAATTGATAAATAGTACTAACAAAGTAAACAATAATAATGATAGAAAAGATGATGGTGATGATATAAGGGACACACCAACTTCAGATTTTCTGCTTGCCGACGCTGGTTATTTCTCCTTTATGTGCTGATAATATTTATCTGTTGAAAGTTTCATTATGTTATGATGATATAATCTAAATTCAACAGTAAGAAGAAAGAGAATACAATTGTTAGATGGAGATTTATAGAGTAGTCCAGTGTTGCCAGTGTTCAAATGGTGAGCATGATGATATGCGAGTGTATTGGGATTATGAATCTAATTTAGCAGACAACGGATAAATATTTGTACCTATGAAATATAAGACCAGAGAATGCGAATTGTGTAGTGCGTTTTTCCAGTGTGCACTTCTCAGTGAATAAAATAGTACTGGCTGGTTAACTTATATAATCCCAAGTCCTAATGTATGATGATGTGTTATTTCTGTGATTATTGTTATTACTTGGATGTCGTTTCTTTGAAGCAAATGCACAAGACCTCCATCTCATCACATATATTCAATGGTGCTCCACAACTTCCACAGACTTCTTTTTGGTGATAGACTTTTCTATAGAATTCTTTTCATTTCTGAAATTTGATGTGTAATAATGTAATATTATTAGTCTAAAATATATTGTCAAGAAATCAGTCTGAATGGTTCGACAATACAAGATGATCACTTTATTTTAACATGTTTTAGTGGACTTGTGGATTAAAGAATTCAAAATAGTGTTTAAAAAATTGATCTGAATACCCAATTAATATGCCAGGAAAGGTATTCAGATTTAGTGGCATTTTACATTCTTCTACATACTCTCTGGAGAATGTATACAGTCCCTCGAGGGAATTGTAGTATTTAAGGTTATAGCTATGTTTTGTTATAAACTAACGATCATGCACCTATTTACTTCTAGGTACTAAATGTAACATACGAAAGTAAAATGAACATGGGAAAGGATTTGGTCATTTTACTATGTTTATTTTATGAGAAAAGTGTCAAATCGGCCCTCGTACTATGTACGGAAAATCAGTTCAGCCCTCGTACTTTACGTTTCATCAATTCGGCCCCCTACTTTGTTATTTTCGTCAAAACTTCCTTTTAGCTGGTAACTAGCCCGATCAGCAGGTTACTGGCTGACGTGGTGCACACGTGGTCTGACGCAGCGCACACGTGGCATGCCACGTCAGTTTTTCTTTTCCTTTTCATTTTCTCTTTTCTTTTTTTCTTTGTTTTTCTTTCCTTTCCCAGCTTCTCCTTTTCAGGTCGGTCTTCTTCCTCCCAACCCACAAACTTCATCCGTGCATTTCTCCTTCCTGGAACCTTGCTGTGAGCTTCATTTTTTCTCTTTCCCACCCCCTGTTCGTTGTTTCTCCGTCCACAACCGACAGGAAGGACCGAAAAACGCAGTTCATTCGAAGATTGATTATTGCTCAAACTCAAATTTGGGAGTTTTGTTTTTTTTATTTCTGAGGCTAGATTGGAGTTTGTCGGCTAGGGATGACTCTCCATATCAATTTTAAGCAACTGGAACGAGTTATTTGGGGCTGGTTTGGAGCTGGTCGGAATTTGTCCATGTTTCTCATTTTCAGACTACTTCGGCCACTTTTCCGGTGACTTCAGGGCTTGGTAGAACAAAATAGAATATGTAAATTAAAGGAGGTCTCCGTGTACAGACGCACCTCCTCATATTTTTAGTTTAATTTTCCGATCGCTTTCCAAGTCGACGACAACTGTTCACGGACGGCTACTTCACTGCTGCTACGGAGAAGAAGAAAGGCGCGGTGAAAAAGAAAGGCGCAGTAAAAGAGAAAGAAGGAAAGAGAAAAAGAAAAAGAAAACGGGAAAAGAAAGGGAAAAATAATAAGGGAAAAGAAAAGAAAAAGGTGATGTGGCTGCCACTTGTGTGCCATGTGAGGCCACATGTGTGCCACGCGTGCGCCACGCTAGCAGGTAACCTGCTGACCGACTGGTTACCTGCTAAAAGGAAGTTTTGACGAAAATAACAAAGTAGGGGTGGGGGTGAATTGATGAAACTTAAAGTACGAGGGCTTAATTGACTTTCCGTACATAGTATGAGGGCCAATTTGACACTTTTCTCTTATTTTATTCATTTGCTTAATGTTTGAGAGTCTCCAAAACATGAATTCATGCTTGAGAGACCAACGATATTCATTTGGTACATTTATCTGTTTGTTATCCTATATGACAGTGCTAAACTAGCATTTTGTGCATGTATTTATTTGTTACAACTTACAAGGGTGCAGGCTGTGAAGGCCCTTATTAAGGCCATTCCACTGAAAGGATTGTTTTCTGCATTGTTTTTATCTCTACATATGCTCAAATTTTCTAATGGTTTTTAATACTGATGAATAATTCTCCTGTCATTAACCGGAAGATTTATCTGCTGATATCTTCGTATTTTCATCCTATTTCGTTTACGACTGCAGCTCCTAACAGAGGGAATGGACTCGATATGGATAACTATTGTTGGACTCAAACCCTGCAGGAGGTCAATGTCACTATACCTGTAAACCCTGGAACGAAGTCAAGGTTCATCATATGTGAGATAAAAAAGAATCATCTTAAAGTTGGGATTAAGGGTCAGCCACCAGTGATAGATGTAAGGACTTTAACTGGCAAACTACTCTTGCACACAGATTGTTTAGTTTGGTTATTTTGCATGTTTTTTAATTTTTATGTTTGTTCACTTCCATTTCCGGCCCTTGTGATTTTAATATTAATTCACCTCTATTTCCAGGCTGAACTCTACAAGCCTGTTAAGGTTGATGATAGCTTTTGGAGTTTGGGTAAGTCTTTGCAATAGTGGACATGAATTCTTTGTTGAACATTTTGTTTCATAACACTTCTAGTTGTTTCTTACTCCCTCCGTCCCTCTAAGTTTATCCCATTTTACCTTTTCGGGAAATCACACTAAGATTGTCCCATACCAAATTTGGTAAACTTTGTGTGGCTCTAAATCATTTTTACTTTATTCTTGCATTATATCAATTTGATATCAACCACACAAACCCACTTTTCTTAATAATCGAGCCACCTTCTCTTGTCCCAATCTTAGTGGGACGGAGGTAGTATTATATAATAACTCACAATGTGTTTTTCTCATATTTCCATAGAGGATCAAAAGGCCGTCTCAGTACTGTTAACCAAGAAAGATAACATGGAGTGGTGGAAGTGTTTGGCGAAAGGTGAGCCTGAAATTGATACACAGAAAGTTGAACCAGAAAATAGCAAACTATCAGATTTAGATCCTGAAACGCGATCAACTGTGGAAAAAATGATGGTATGGTTTCAGTTCTTAATATTACAATTATATTGGATGTATACTGCCAAATAAATAACCCGTCTAACCATGCAAACATGTAAATGTTTCTGGTGGGCCCGGAGAAAGGACTCAAGGGCTTGTTTGGCTTGGGGATTTCGGTGGGAAGGGGAGGACTGATTTTTGTTGCTAATCGATCTCTATTTGTTAAATTTATATTTGAAATAACTTTATGGTTAGTTAGATCATGTATTCATGTGTAGTTTTTTTATCTTCACTTTATTGCTAAGCATCTAATTTCTTTAATAAGCCATCCGTTTCTCACTCCTGAAATCGCTGAACCAAAGAAGCCCCTAGAGAAAGAGAGAGCACCTTTTGTGACTCCGTATGCCTCATGTCTCTACTTTTCGGACTTTAAGGGGTAGGGTGAGAACATCTGATGTGATCTAACACATTTTGGCAAGTAGTCTCCTGGTGATATGGACAGTTTGAAGCCCTTCAGCAAAACTGCATTTCTTTGTTTGCATAGTTGTGAAATGTGGGAATGACACAGGGTGAAACTTTGTATTTGGTTGGGTAGGAGAATCATTTATTTTCCATTACTAGTGCGAGTGGCGTCTTATAGCCCTTTTGTTCCAAAATGAGGCATGAAATTTAGAGTAAAGTGAGACCTAAAGGAATCATGAACAGTGTGAAGTGAAGATCATTCTAGTGCAACTACCCCGCATATACAGTTTATCAATTTTGCTTTATTTTGTATTATGACTATTATCAAGAATTGTTTATCATGTATACATGTGTTGGATACCCTGAATGTTTTCATCATATGCTTACTATGAAGTTGATTTCCTTGTAGTTTTTGTGTGCTTGGTGAACTCATCATTTTTATGGCTTTTGACTATACTGGTTAATTGCTTACTATGAAGTTGATTTCCTTTTAGTTTTGTGTGCTTGGTGAACTCATCATTTTTATCACAAAAAACTACTTTTTTTTCCTGACATTTGATATTTTCTTTTGTGTGCAGTATGATCAGAGACAAAAATCTATGGGTCTTCCAACAAGTGATGAGATGCAGAAGCAAGATATCTTGAAGAAATTCATGTCTGAGGTAAAAGTCAAGCGAAATCTTTATACATTGCGCCTATGCCTGTCACACCTCTTTTAATTGATTTTGTTGTACTTCAAACTTCGCAGCACCCAGAAATGGACTTCTCCAAGGCCAAGTTTAGCTGATTGCAAGTGCTGGCAGTAGAATCTGTGATGGCGCAATCGTATTTATCAGTGGCAAGAATGTCGGTTTTCTGGCTATCCTGTTTGAGTTGGTTTCAATGGTTGTCTTAGGCTGAGTAATGCATATATGATTATCTACTTGTTTTTGTTGACCAGTTTTTTCGACTGTACATTTTATGATTATGATGAGCTAGCTAGTATGTTGATGGTAATATTTTGCTTGACTTGGCATATTTCTACTCATTGTTTGCTTGAATACTCTTATGTTTGCATCAACACTTAACAGCATTGGGCTATATGTTATTTGTAGGTTTTTACTATAATTTCTTAGTGAGGTAGTGTAGAGTAAAGATAAAAACGTTCGCTGTGTAGTGTGTATTAAACTATGTATGATTTGCTACAACTTGAGAGCAAAGCACTTGACCCCAGCACAGGGCCGGTGTGGCAATGTCCTCTGCTGTGTTTTCACACCATCCTTAACAGCCAGAAGATGTTCCATATTTAGCGGAAGAAGCTGCCCAGTAGGACTTCATTCTAGGATTCTTTTTAGCTATGTAAGAGCGAGACAGGATTAGACGTCTTCAAAAGCATCTTGGCTCATTCCTTGAGTTTACTTATATCTCTGTTAGATGAGTGTCGATTGTTTGTTTCCATCTGGGTTGGACTTCAGTAACCTATGACCTATCTGTGTGACTGGACTGCAACCTGCCAGATTGATATGGTTCGAGTTAGAGAGTTTTTTGTTGTAAATTACTCCATCCGTTAAATTTTATAAGCTGTATTTTACTTTTTTGGGTTATTTAGAAAAAGTATGAACATTTTTCTAAGTTGAACTCCAATGACTTTACTTTTTCTAGTCTTTTTGAAGGTTAGAATTCTAAAGCAATCATTTTATCTTTTATTTTCTTAAAATTTGGACCAAATCCATATGCATTTTGGACAAGAATGTGTCAAAAGGTAACAGAATTGAAAAGTCTTATTGTCATCATTAGTATAGTATGTCATTGTTATTACCCATCGCCATCGTTATCTTCTGTGAAACATGCCATTATCATCGCTAAAAAAATTCTCAAAAGCTTTTTTTTTTAAAATATAAAAACTTGAAAAAATTCAATGGAATTTTTTGGTGAGTCGTTGCAGTAAGGCCGTAAGGGTATGTTTCAGTAAGGCTAAGTTTGGCACAAATAGTTGAAAAAATACTTTTATAAGCTTTTTACTAACTGTTAGCTTTTAGTGACTGAAAAGATCTTAAAAAGAAAAAGGCAGTACTTGTTTGGTAAAAAGCTGACTGTTTGATTTAGCTCTGTTTGGTATACAAGTCGTTAAGACTAATTAATACTAGAAACTACTGACTTATCTGAGATGCTACTCTCTGTAGCATTTCAAAAAAAATCTTTTATTTTTACAATTTTTTATTAATCGCTACATTTTTTAGATGGATCGTCCTAGATATTCGGTTGATATGGGTAACCTCGAGCGCAACCGAACGAAAGAGCTTGCGAGGAAGAGATCCGCAAAGGTAAATCACATATCGGCTCTTCATCTCAAAGTCGAGATGATTTTGATACGGGTTACACAAGGAGGGATGAGGATGCGATGACCGACGAACAACTAGAACAAGAATTGCACCGACATAATTCCCGCTTTTTTCAAGACCAACCGAGGACATTGACGAAGAAGAGCTCGAGGACGAAGACGACGATGTGGAGGAAGTAATTCCGGAGAGCCACGACGACGAGGAGGAGGAGGGTGGCGGCAGCCATGACGCCGACCAACCAGCCTCATCCCAAACAGGTACAAAAAAAGTAAATCTGAACTAATGGCTAATGATTTTTCTAAGTGGAAGGACCCGAACACCGGGAATTGGACCGCAACTTGCAATTGGTGCAAGAAAAACTATAGCTTGGGGATTTCCGGCGGATACGGATCCGCCACAAGACACCTTAAGTCCAAACACCCGGTGGAGTATGCAAAATTAGGCGGCGGAACGGGGAAGCAAACTCAAATATCGAGGTTTGCAAATAACCAACAAGCTTTTGGTAATTTCTCATACAATGATGCACAAAATTTGACAGGTATGACTAACTTACTTGTTGAAGAAAATTTGCCTTATTTGTTTTTTGAAAGTCTTGCTTTTCGTGATTATGCACAAACTTGTTTAAATCCGCAATATAGAGGTTATAGTCGCAAAACGGTTAAGAAAGAAATTTCAAGGCTTTATGGTGCGGAAAAGGTAAGGTTACAAAATTATTTTGCAAACTTTGATGGACGTGTTACTGTATGTTCTGACATATGGGAGGATACTTATCATAATTTACATTATTTGGGTCTGACTGTACATTATATTGATAATGATTGGCATATGCATAAACGTGTTCTTGCTTTCCGTGAATTTAATGATCGTCACACCGCTGAACATATTTATATTTTGATTGAGCGTATTTTAATTGAGTATAATTTAATTGATAAGGTGTTTGCTATTGGTTTTGATAATACTACTAATAATACTGCTGCTATTCCTAAATTGCGTGAATTGTGGTCCTACTTCTTTGATGGGTAGATTTTTTCATCAACGATGTGCATGTCATGTTCTAAATTTATGTGTGCAAGATAGTCTAAAAGCGTTGGGAGCATCGTTGGAGGTAGTCAAGGGAGAGATTAGACGTATTTGGGGTAATGGACAACTTAGAGAAAAATGGCATGATTATTTGATAGAAAGAGGTGAGAGATATGTGACTTTTCCTAAAGATTTGTCTATTTGTTGGAATAGTACCTATAAGTTAATTGGAGTTCTTCTTAGATATAAACAACATTTTCCTGCTTTTATGAAACAATATGATAACTATATTATAAACTCGGCTGAGATCGACACCTGTGAAAAAATTTGTAATGCTTTGATATATTTTAATAATGCAACTGAAACTTTTAGTCATGTTTAAAAACCTACCTCAAACCAATTTATTCGTGAAGCTGTTAATCTCGCCGGTGCTTTTTCAAATTTTGAGAATGCTGATTATGTGAGTTATTTTGCTAGTTTTATGAAGGAAAAGTTTTTAAAATATTATTCACATATTCCGCATATTTATGGTATTGCATTTGTTCTCGATCCTCGTTTTAGACTTGGTTCTTTAGAAGAATGTTTGAATTATTATTATGCTGCTTTTTTTGGTCCATTGCCAATGTATGAGGACAACCCAATTGACCCGAAAAAAGAATACAACGAGGTTAGTGATATATTTTATGCATTATTCAATGAGTTTCATGCACAATATGACAATGCGCCCCCTCCCCCGACACAAACATCATCTAAAGGAAAATCAATTTTCACATCTACGTTTGCCAATCTTATTAAAAAAACGAAATCAACTCCCGCTACACAACAAAGCACAATTAATGAGATTTCTTTGTATTTAACTTATGATGTTGATTTTGAAGAAGATGATGATTTTTACGTACTAAACTGGTGGAAGGGAAAAGAAAGAATGTTCCCGGTTTTAGCAAAGATGGCTAAGCAAGTGCTATCAATGCCGGTTTCAACGGTTGCCGTGGAACAAGAATTTAGTTCGGCCGGCAATGTCCTAACACAAACCATAACGAGGTTGAGCGCTGAATCTCTTGAGATGCTTATATGCTACCACGATTGGTTGAAAGCAGCCCGTAGAGCTCAAGAAATTGACATCACCCCATCCCAACACTTTATGGATGAATCTACAACCGAGGGTGGCTCTACCTATGCCGGAGATTCCGATTGAAATATTTAATGATTGATTAGTATTTCATGTTTTAAAAACAATTATAGTTCCTATTTAATTTTCAAATGTAGTTCCTATTTCATTTCAAATAAATGCACTTGAAGTTTGTTTTTTAATACTTGTATAAAACTATAAGGTATAAAATATAAATTAAAAAAATATATTTAACCGACCCGGCCCGGCCCGGCGGGTGGCCCGACCCGTGACCCGGGCGGGTGGCCCGGCCCGAACCGGACCTGTCCAACCCTCGGACCGGTCCCGGGCCCATGTGATACGAACCGACGGCCCGACCCGAATCCACCCCTACTTATGCTGTTATGCATGCCAAACTAGGGATGGACTAAACCGGCCCGGCCCGCTACTGTGCGGGCCCGGACCGGGACCGGTTGGTCGGTTCCGGGCTTTTAGCCCGTTTGGGCGGGTCGGCCGGGCCGGGCTCGGGCCCAGTTTTGGGCGAACCGGCCCGGGCGGTTCGTTTCGGGCCCGAGTCATTTTTTTTTTGTTTTTTCAATTTTTTTTCTTTTCCTAGGGTAGGGCTGGGTGTTTTGGGGAGGTTTGGGGGTCGGGGGGGGGGGGGGGGTCGGGGGATAACAAGAAAGCAAAAAAAATTTAGACATTGAACCGGGCCCGGCCCGACCCGGTTAAGCCTGGACCCGGTATCAACCCGGGCCGATTCTGGGCCCAAGGATTTGCAAAAAAAGCCCACCCGGGCCCGGCCCAGAACCGGAACCGGACCGGCCCGGGTCCATCCCTATGCCAAACATAGCCTAAATGTTATTTCTAAATGTTATTGGAGCCAAGTCAGCCAACAATGGGACTGGGAATGGGGTAGGGACTAGGGACAAGTGTGGATTTTTGAGTAGGAATTAGAATTAAAGAAAAACAAAATTATTTAATAAAGGTTAAGAGCTGTATTTTTTTACAAAACACATAATTTTTTATTCGCGCCATGAATGGTGTAATAATATGAAAAAGTAAGGTTGGAGTTACTTTTCTGACTCTATTGGATAAAATTACTGTATTATATCATTTCAGCTGTTTTTTCATATAATTCTTTTTTGCCAAAGCTTTCTAATACTCCGTATATTATAGTATTTGTTCTGTTAAGTCCAACATCCTTGAAGTGGGATGATTCGAACCTGCGACCTCCTCTTTGAATGTGTCTTAGTGATGTCATCAGACCACAAGGTACTTGGTTTTTCTTTATTTTATTAATAAAATATATTTGATTTTTTTTATAAATCAGCACAATCAGCCAATCCAGTCACTTCAAACAAAATTTTATGAATTTCAGTAGAATCAACCAATAAAGTCGATTTGAATATTTCCAAAAGGACACTAAGGACCTGTTTACTTTTGACTTAATGAGCTTAATGGAAATCTGAACTTATTTGCTCAGCCATATATTGTTGTTTTCTTTTGATTTAATGAAAATCATGACTTATTCGCTCAGACATTTTAGGACTTAATGGCTCAGCCCAATTTTAATACTTCTTACCATTCAGACCTAACATTGCATCAGGATTCCCTTTTATAACCTTGCATAGATTTCATGGCTGCGGCATCACACCTGCGACCTTCACCAATCTGCTACCGAGGAACTTCACCAATCGGACATGCTCTAAGCTTTGTGTTTGAAACCCATATCCAAGATTGAAAGAAAGTCTCTGCCTTGTCTCGATTATAGATTTCTACATCTTTGAGGTACACGAATCCATTCGAATTTGATACGGCTTCACCTGAGCTTCTTAAAGTTTCAATTTTTTAAAATGAGCTTTGGACCTTGTTCGGATAGAGCTTTAGGAAAGATTTAGGCAAAGTGACACTTGCCGATGGAATGCCTTGGAATGTGTTACCCCAATATTAGACTTTTTTTGTGGGTTCTTGGATTTATTAGTACAGCCTACTCCATTTATTTTTCCAACTCGATCCTAAATTTCCGAGGATTTCATATCTATTTTTATTGATAGAGTATATCTAGAGAGAAGTGAGAGCTAGAGAGAGAAGTGCATTAATATGCTTCAATAGAATGATTTTGTAACCCCTATAACTACTCCCAACGGGAGTATTTATATAGAAAATACGGGCTGAGCTCCCAAGCCTGGGGCTTGCGAGGCCCATTTACAACTGGACCGCTACTGGGCTGAATACAAAGCCACTAATGGGCTGTACAAATGAGTAAGTGTAGAATCCGGCTCTGTGAG